AAATTCTGTATGGCACTAATTTTTTATAGTTGCAAAATATGGGGCTATATAACTACATTTGTACTTTGTACTAAGAGGCGGATCCAGTCATTTTTAAAAGGAGGTTCCCAATCCAGGATAAAGGGGGGGGGGGGGGGGGGGGGGCATTCAAATGCATTGATTGTCCAAAAAAAAAGTGGGGTTCCATCCCCCTGCATTTTATTTTCCACTATACGTTAAACAGCCATAAATATATCCGTCAATCGCTCCGTTAGATAAAGAATTCAAGCGTGAAAAAAATCCAGATTTTTTGGGTTAAGATAGTAGGGCAGTGACACGGCGGTGACCATCTTTAAAATTCGGTTCCCTCTCCTTTTCCACGATCCCAAACCCCAATCAATTTCCCATACAATCTAAACACTGATTCTCAGCAAATCGGGACCATTTGCCAAAATTAATCTTGGAAAACAAATTTGTGTAAACCAACTTCTAATAATGCTCAAATGATTCGTATATATATGATTTGAAAGATTCCAAAGTGGTTGGTCTTAGCTCTTACTGTGAAAATAATATCGTGGTCAGGACTATGGGTCACTGTTTTCCACATAACAGATACGTTACCGTCATGTTTTATGTCCTTGGAAAACGAATTTTCATACAAAGTGTCGTTGCTTAGATATTTTCCTCCAAAACTATTCTAGAGGTACCCAAGATGATATCAATAGTCATAAATATTAAGTAATAGATTCTGAAAAGTTAATTAATTGTTCTTGCATCCATATCTTGATAAAATATAACTTTGAAGACAAAAAAACATAACAATTAGGTTGTTCTTGATAAAATATGTATCAAGATAATACTCAAAATATGTTTAAATATCATTTATCAACAACTGCTCATATTAATTTCATATACTTTTTCAAATGTTTATATATATTATCTTTTTTTCAACTTGGAAATTAGCAGATCACGTATCTGTTGAGAAGACAATTTGTATATTAAAAACTCTGTTATATCGGTTCTGGAACTATTAAGAAGGTTCGCTACTCAGTTTCAAAATTATTAAAGGAACCAAAAGTGCAACAAAAAAATATAGGTCAATGTGCTTGTTTTCGAGATATTAGCCATTGAAATTTTGGCGGGAAAATGTTCTCTCTTGATTTTTCATAGCTTTATCATTGAAAAGTTCAAGTTCTCAAAAACTATTAAAAAATAACAAAGATTTTATAAGACTTTTACAGATGGCTAATAATTATACATGTAAAAGATTTATAAAAAGAAAAATGGGGGTCAATGGGCAAAATTTTTTAAGGCATTCACATGGATAAAACCAGAGGATTCCGAAAATCTGACAAAAAATCTAAATCATGACAAGCGAACATCGTTAATTATAAATTAACTTTAAATATATAATATTTGAAATCAAAGAAGTGAGCGTAACGCTTCAAACTTGAATGAAACAATAGGATATACGATGTAACGTATCTGTTCAAGGCATGCAACAAATACGCTACTATAGGACACAAATACGTTACTTAATGTTTGCACCCTGAATTACAATACTTTAACACTATTTTTATCCTGTAGGTACAAAATTAAGATGTCTTATTCGTATCTAGGTGTTAAAATATCTAAATAAATATATTAGTGAAAAATACATGTATATTAAAATTTCAAGTTAACATCAGTACAATTACTAAAACTGACGTTGTTCTTTCATATGTCTTCGCAAATTGCAGCTGATAACTTGTTGTACTGATGATATTATTCGTTGATCAGTAAACAAAACAAAAATGTATTAAGGCAGATATCTCAAAAGCCTGAATTCCGAAATAATATCGATATTTTATCGTTAATCGAAACATAGTAACGTATCTATTGGAACTGTATCTGTTTAACAAATTGTTCGTGGGCCATTATTTAAAATATGTTTTTGATACCAGGACATTTTTCACTGTTGAAAAGTACGATCAAATATGTAAAAACATATTTATTCAGTTAAATAGATCCCATGCAAGTGTTTAATGTTTATTCAAATGATTCCATAGTAACGTATCTGTTAAGAAATAACGTACAAAAGCCATTTCCTAGATTTGGAGCTTATCAATTTTCTAAACCATTATAGATACACATCATATAAATTTGTTTTGGTTATAACTATGGACTAACACTTCAAAAGCAACATACTCAAATTTCAATTGACCTTTAGATAAATGTAGAGTCTAATTAAAAGGAAGTAACGTATCTGGTCAAAGAAATAGTGACATATATTCTCAAAACTGTGTTGGTTTTATTTTGTGACAAACTACTTAAAATGACATAAATTTGTATTGGCTAAATGGTAATAGATCGGAAAAGGCAACATAAGTACATGTTTTACAAGCTTCTTAAGTCAAATACTCAACAGAAAAAATATCTATACCATCAGGGACATTCGTTTTACTCAAAATAATAAGTTTTATTGTAAGGCTGGAGTAATTTTAATATTCTTCTACGTAGCAATTGTGTTTGTTTTAGCTAGATAATTATCTTCCTTGACTTTCAAAAACATATTTGTTTAGACATTTTAAAGCAGATGAGGCTTCAAATATCTACAGGGACAACAAATCATGTATTGGACCCAATTTCCTGAGAATGAGTGTAAAAGTGTTTCACCGCCCCCTCCAAACCTGACACGGCCTAATTAGCCATGACATCCGTTTTATTTGAAATATAATGTATACATGTATACATACATGATCATGTAAACATGAACCTGCATCTGTTTTAAATGTAATTGTAACTTAAATCACTATTTCTACAGGCTACACATGCTATTGACCTTGACATGAAATAGTAAATATTTAATTGGTTTGTGATACTATACGGTCTACCTTTTTATGATTGAAGATAAAAAGACATATCAATAGACTGAGGTATATTCCCAACTCTCTAAATATAAATTGACATATTTATATATTTATATATAAATCTTTGTAATATTTACATCACGTAATTTATGCAGCTCCTACATATTTACATACGTGTTCAGAAACATGATGTCTAGGATTATAAACATTGAGTAAGTAACTATTTATTTTTTGATAAGATATACATTTATTTAGAATCTGAAAAAAGCAAATTAGTACAGTAAAATTGCAAAAGCCACATGCAGTCATTGCAAAGTGTTAATTTAGTTTCTAATGGTTTAATGTGAAAAGAGCAATATGTGTGTATATATATATAGTATTAATAATGTTTTCTTTAATAATTATTATTAACTTATTACAACGTATGTACGAAATAATATTATGCCTTATGTTTATATAAATATGTTTTGAAATATATCAAGGCTAATTTTAAACAATTAACAACAGCATACATGTACAAAAGCCATACACGTTCATATTTAATTACGTACTTTTTAATTGGAAAATTTTGCCAAGCTGTCAAGAGTACGAGTATGGTTACAACAGCGCAATTATTCGTAATGCATCTTCTATATAGCAGTGGCGGATCCAGGGGGGAGGGTGGTTCCGTGGGTTGGAACCCCCTATTTTTTGGACGATCAATACATTTGAATGAAGGCATATAGTTGGAACCCCCCTTTATCCTGGGTTGGGAACCCCCCTTTAAAAAAAAAATGGCTGGATCCGCCCCCTGTATAGGGTACCAGTGGTGTACCATATTTTGTTTCTCGAAGACTACACAAAACAGAAAAAAAAATGGGTAGCAGTTCTTGTAACTAGAAATATCAGCGATACATAACTGCCAAAAATATACATAATAGATATAGTCATGCGGCATAAGTCGACCTGAAATGCTCCTACGTGCAGAAATGAATAATCTGTAAAATATAATAAGTAATATAGAAGAATTAATTCCAATCCGGTATCATTCAATCAGAAGCTGTACAAGATTTTTTCTGAGTACCATCTTGGGGTAACTTGTCGGTAAAATGTAAACAAATAATTGCGCTCTTATAACCGAATGTTTGACATATATACTGCAACTTAATTTTAAAACGTTGAAATACAGTCCGATACATTGCACCAGTCGGATGGCATCAAATAAACATTGACGAAAGAGGTTTAACTAAACTTAAATAGATTGATTGATTGATTGGTGTTTTAACGCCACTTTCACTTTAAGTCGATGTATACGTCATAGTAGGAACCTTGGTCTTGTGTAACTAATTCATAAAATTAACTGGAGATTAGTGTATAGTAGCTAGGTTAAGAATTTGTTCAGAATTGATCGGCACAATTGATCCATGTACTTTCAGGAAAATCAATCGAAATGTTTTTCTTTTTTCTTTCTGTAATTGTATCTGAATTATCCATTTAATTTTTTTTTCAGTACTTGGCTTTTTCCTTGAAAACTATAATAGGAGCTGGGTTACAAGTATAAATTTCAAATATGATGAACATGACAAGATATTTTTCGAATTTATTCCAGTAACCGCGCACTGAAAGACTGCATGATTCCTCAATTACATATAGACTCGATTTCAATGCTTCCGGCATGCATGTGAATCCTCACTTTCAAAAAGTAATTTTTTTAATAACATGAATATGATGCAGGAAATTAACATTAAATTTCAAGAGGATTTACAGATTGTCGTCGCATTTGTTACTTAATTCAATGCAAATCACTTCATGCTTTCATGCAACTTCTTGCGTTTTTATACCCTTCTAGTTGCTATCTGAACTGATAAACGTAATATAGCATAAAAATGTAGGAGAACGGCGGGGATATTTTATAAACAAACAGATATAAATATTTGTTCCGTTCGATTTATCTGCCTAGTCTTATAAGCAGATAAGCAAGTCTAGTGGACTTTTTAATTATCTGATCATATTCTAGAGAAAAAAAAAAACAACATGCTTTATCAAATACAAAAAAACAATACGCGACTAGTGAGTGAACATCTGTTCATGAAATATAATTGATTGTTTGGGTAACGTTAGTACATTATCAATGATATGGTCATAAATACAAATTAACTGTTTACACAACTTAGTACATTATTATGTGTATGGTCATGCATTACACTGGTACATTATATAGACATTCGGTCGTTTATTAAGGAAAATGTAAAGAAAAACATGACCCTGAAAAGAGTAAATCGGAAAGTACCGCGTGTTAACCGTAAGTATCAGTATTTGCCCTAATTTTATAAAAAAAAGTACTTAAAACATAATTATTGGTTTCTTTAGTAAAAATAAAGTAATAAGCCAAATAAATAAGATTTTGTAAACCAAAAGTAGCAAATTATCTCGTTAACTTTAGACAAAAATACATAGAAACCATTGACATTGGAATGAAAAGTAATAATAATGAGAACAAAAAATCAAGGTCTTTCTACAGAAAGATGAAAAAGTCTAAATACTGTTGTCTCCTACCAACTTCTTATGAACATATCACGTTGAAAGATTTGATCATACTTTTGATTTTCTATTTCTGACACCAAAACTGGTCTTTATATATTTTCTTCTTTCGGTGCATCGGAAGAATAATCGTTGTTACTCCAGTAGTGACACCCGTGATTTTGTTTATGGAATAAATTCATTTGTAATCATTATGCATGCTCTTTCCATTGTAATAATTGTAATATTGTATTATTACAATACTAGATATTCAAATACGAAAGCCGAGAGGGCTCATTCATATTTTACAGAATTCAGAAATTCTACATTAAGATATATAAGCTATGGATCCCTGCGTTTACACTTTGATACTCTACCGAGAGCCTTGTTTTAAAGTTTGTTAGGAACACAAACGATTTTAAAACAAGGCGAGGGGTCTGTACAACTTTCTAAGGGATGCCATCAATTTTATCATTCAGACCCCGTGATACAACAGCTTCCCTGTAAACGTCAACCCTCTAAAAAGAAAATAGGAGAGACAGCAAAGCCCTGGAATACCGTATCGTAACGTATCTATACTAATAAAATAACGAGATTTAATTTGTTAGCCGACGTACAAACGACGAATTAAAGAATTCAACTTTATATATAACTAATATAGGACATTGGTGTTGTTTAAAAATTACACCATTCCAGGCCCTTTTGTTTTCCACATAATTAACATGATTAATATTACCAATGATTAACAAGTGCCAGGTAGAATCCGATACCGATACCAATAGTATATGTCGCATGTAGTCTCCGGTTACCTGTTACCTTCTATAAATCCATCTCTACCAGGAGAACCCTGAAGTCTTCCAGGAGTTGTTTTATATCTATGATACACTATAGTACACTATTTAACAAGTCTGTTTTCTTCCACCTCAATGCCACTATTAATTTTGGTTAATTAAGTAAAAATTCAATCTTAGTCTATGGTAAGTTTATCGTAGTATCACTACAAACCAGTAAAAGTCTGAAATGGCCTATATCTGTACTCGACTGTACTGATTTTTACTCGACCAGTCTGAATTGGTCTGAAATTTACTTGATAATACTCGACTGTAGTCTGAACCATACCTAACAGTCTGAACTTGTACTCGACCAGTACTTAACCATTTTATACGCGTCTGAACCATGCTCGACCTAGTCTGAACCATGCTCGACCTAGTCTGAACCATACTCGACCTTGTCTGAACCAACTCGACCAAGTCTGAACCATACACGATCAAGTCGTAACCAACCTAGACCTATTGTTTGTATCTATCTATTGTATTTCATCAATTTAGGAACTGTTTTGAACAACAGCTATTTCCCCTGGCTAGAAATTTGAACAACAATTTGAAATTAAAAATGTATTCAATATATATAGCATTGAAACCAAAATTTCACAATAAACATAATAGAACTTCATCACCATATTCATCAACACTTATTTACATACATATATATCACCTTTAAAATAAAAATAAAAAAAGCTGATCAAATAATCTCAAAACTGAATTGTGACTAATATTTTCAATGTTATTCAAAATGTTTTGAATGTTTCAGATATATTTTATGGTTACTGGACAATTTTCACCATAGTAACTTAAGCCTCGTATAGATTTATGGTGTCAGTTGAGTTTTGTTAATAATGCAGTGAACATTTTTTTTATTAAAATATATATAAAATAGCATATAAAGCAACTTAACAAATTTAAAAAATGACACCTTTGTTTTGTTAAACCAAGAATTTAATATAATCATGATAATAGAACTTCCAGAGTAATCCTGTGATAAACTTTTAAAAAAGGAAATGTGTTCCAAAGATACAGTAAAAATTTATTTCAATTAAATTTAAATAATTTTTGTCAAAATTAAAGACATGGCATACTTTAATAAGGTTTAATTACCTCAGTACATGTGTGTTTTACAGGTAAAAAGAAAGCCCTATTTTTCTTAAACTCGTGTATTACTTATCTAGTGAATTCAAAAGGCCTTGCGATTTAAGTTTCACAGGATGTTGCAATTTTGAATGAATGTTATTTAGAATTTAATACTCTCTTTTTCATGAGTTTCCCCCAAGCAGGAGGTATTACTTTATACTTCACCACTAATCAGTAGAACAATTTTATTAATTTCTTTAATTTTTATCCCTTTTTGATATATATTGTATATAATATATCCCAAATTACAATAATAGATATATTTCAAAAATAAGGTTAAACAATTTCAGTGATTTTGTTGGCTGTTGTTACCTCATTAAAAAGATAATTATATAACTATTGTACATTTTTGTATGTAACCATGAAACCTATGTAGTTTTTATTTAGGAATTTAGGAAAATTAATTTAAAAAAAAACACATGCCAAACATGAAGCACCTTAATAAGGTTTAATTACCCTCAGTATAGTTGTGGTTTTTAAGTAAAAGAAATGTTTTTTTTTAACAAAACTCTAAAACTTTAAAATTAATATAATTAAATTATTATATAAGACAATTTGATTTAACTATCTCTATTCGATAAATCTGAGAATCATGTAAGAATGTGAAAATCTGTTTTTATAATATATCTTTATTTTATTGTGGCTGTTGTCATGTCAGTTAAAAAGAAATTTATTTTAACAGTTAAAATTTAGAAAAAATAGAGGTTATTTGGTCAAGTATGGTTCAGACTGGTCGAGTATTGTTCAGACCTTTGGTCGAGTATGGTTTAGACTGAAAAAAATAGGTCGAGTACAGGTCGAGAATGGGTTAAGACTGTTTCAGACTGGTCGAGTAATAGTTCAGACTATTTTCAATGGCAAAGATAAGGGTCAAGTATAAATCAGTATAGTCGAGTATGGTTAAGACTGGGGTCGAGTAATGTCAAGTAAAATTCAGACCAATTCAGACTGGTCGAGTAAAAATTAGTACAGTCGAGTACAGATATAGGCCATTTCAGACTTTTACTGGTTTGTACTGTAAGAAAACCAGAACGGATTCAAACAGAAATATTTTGAAAGCAGAGAAAACTGCGCACTTTGCAATTAGCATGACTTTATCAGATGGCAATACGATTACTAAAAATACGTACTTAATATAAAGCATTGGTACCTTATTTCAATCACGGACCCGCGGGTGTGTTCTAGTATATATGTATACTAAATATGCAGGCGCTGGTAGAATGTAGCTTCATCGAAAAGGTAGGTTATCAATGGGAAAATTTAAATCAATGCTTTGTGGTAAAGTTTTAGATGTTAGTTTCTGGATTTCATTCAAGGAAGGGGCATACCTTATTATACCTGTGGTGTCGTTATTACGAGTTCATTAAGATATATGTAGTTCACCTTGTCTATGAACGTTGAATTTTTCAATAATGAAGCGAAGCGAAGAGACAACTTCATGTATCCCCCTGAAAATTGAGTGGAGACTACCTCATATATATATATATATATATATATATATATATATATATATATATACCGACAAAAGCCACATAAACTGTACTCCTCGGGGGTACAATTGGACATAAAGTGGACTCCTCAGTTAACTGTACAGTTGAGGTGAGCACCTTAACTTTTGGTATCTGTACAAAAAAAAGTATAAATATTAGCAATGTGAACTTAATGCCACACAAAAGATCGATATATTACGATCACATAACGGTCTTGATGGTCAAAAAATATTGAGGAATAAGAAAGATATTGCTTTCTGAAGTGACATACCCCCATTTTTCTATATATGTCACTTTGCACCAAATCGGTACAAACAGAGTTAAAGTGTACACTAACTTTAATCACGATTATTTATTGGTTTCCCCATATATATCTAATGAAATTTGCACTCAAATGATAGTTTAATATATCTTTTAATTTTTGATACCTCAAACAAGTATCGGAACTTATCCGTTAAGAAATTATTTGAGATATATAATCGATCCTGACATATACATGCCTGGTTTTCGATCAACTTGAAAAAGATATATACATCCGGGCATTTGAATGTTTATTTCGTTTGAAAACAAAATGGAGGATGTCCAAGCGATGACCTATATCATCATTTAGACGTCGGATAATGGTTTAAAATGATTGAAATACGTAAAATAATGTAAGTTTTTATTCATTTATATGAACAAATGTATTTAACAAACAAAAGTATGCCTGAAAGAAGAAACAACGATCGTCGTTAACAATGGCCTGACATCTGTATCCTACGACTTTTATATTCATTCTAGTTGATAATTCAGAGTTAGATAACTAAAATATATATATATTGTTCTTATTAATATTGATATTAGCCTGAATAGTTGCGCAACAATCTATAAAATGAGGGCGAATCGTGTTTATAAACAATTACAAAAAGGGGGGACACATGCGTATGATCAATCTGAAAATGCACATATTGAGACAAAATTGTTGTTTTTGTTTGTTTTTCATGTCCCATCTTTAATATGAAAACGCTTTTTTTTTTGTTGAAAGACGTTTGTAAAATGTTTATTGTTAGTATTATTGGTAGGGTTTTTATATTAGGTGCTGGGTTCTTCGGATTTTGATTGATTCAAAGCTTATTAAAAAATCAACAAATCATAAGTTTCTAGGGTGATGTGAGATTATCTGGCTAACATCACTAAACATGAGATTTTTATTTTAAAGAATGTTTTTTTGTTTCCAATTTTTTTGGAAAGGTTAACTCAAACATTACTAAATATGTATTGCTTCATACACTGATACATGTACGAAACATGATTCTACATCCTGTTGATATAATGTTTATATTTTT